GTAAGGGAGAGTGGCAGGAAAAAGAGTTCGATGGAGGCAGCGCAAGTCTACTATCCCTTAGGACAAATTCACGCGCAGGTCACCGAGTTTACTTTCAACCTATGCTGAAGCACGCTTGGGAAATCGTCGAACTTGACGGTCGAACTGTCAATTTCCTGCCTCCATTGGCCTCTTCAGCTTACATCCTTAAAATACTTACTGTTGTCCCCTAATGTGTATCCTCTACCAATTCGTTAGCCTCTGGGCTCTTTAATAAGAGCTTTCCTGCCGACAGTACAAATGAAATTCGTGCATGTTTAAGAAGCCAACTGGGGTCTGCATGATTGTTATATAGTCTTATTAAGACCTCCTTGCTGATACTCCTGTCATATGAACAAAAGGAATAAGCCGTTCCTCTATGCTTCCTCTCTGCCTATTTCTATATCTGTGAAATATGTGAAAACAAATTAACTGTATGTGGTTTTCAGGCGGAACGGCTAGCGAGAGTTGAAAGGAGGCAAGCTCGGCGTAGAAGAAGAAGAAGAAGAGGCATCAGAATAAGAAGAAGCATCAGCAAAAGAACAAGAAGCAGCATGAGAAGTACCAGACAAAGAAGAAGTAGAAGAGCGCAGCAGGAAACCCAAATTGCGTCTACCAGCTACTACGGAACTGAAAGTGTTCCAGCTTCCCAAAAGGTAAGGTGAAGGAAATGTAAATCTCTTTTATGCGCCTTTTCCGTGTGCAAGGTAGCCCAGTGATTAGGGCGTATTTTAGATTCCATTCCCTAAATAGTGTTCCTTTTTTATTTCATGAATTCTGCTGCTCTAAATGCTTTACTTGATTTATTAGTCTTCAAACCTATAATTCCATATTTTTAACTATTTTATAATCAGCGCCCAATGTGATGTGTTTAGCCTCTCACTTTTAAGGAATATTTCATAAAAATTTGCTTTCTAGTGCAGACAGGGATTTAAGAGTTGTCCTGAAAATGCAAAATCTGAGCGTCTGTTCGAAAGAATTCAAATGCATCCTAAGAATGCAGCTCCTGAGAATGTGGATCGCAAGATCCAGAAAGCTATGAAATCACAAAAACCCGACGTAATCGCACTTTATCTTTTCGCCGTTGGATATGCTGAATTTCAGCAGGGCCCAGGTTCACACGGGGACATCGGTGGCGTTTCCGTTATCTGATGCAGTTGCCTTCAAATATTTCCTTAGCACTTTTTCGGACCAAAATTCAGCAGAAGTACCTTGACCTCGTTCAGCCAAAACTAACTCTGGCTATCCTCTGCGACCAAGGATACGAAAACGAGCGCGCAAACCATGACGATGGTTCACAGACGAGTATCTTCAGATGGGTCCTTAGCACTTTTTCGAGCCGAAATTCAACAGTGTATCATAATATGTCATTCTCATTGGCTGCTGGCGATCGCGTGTTTAATTATGCATTAATGGCTGCACATCAAACCGTTCCAGCACAGTAAACGGCTGTGGCCGTCGTGCTTGGCACGGCTTTGTGGGAACATGGATGAGAATTGGGTGCCGAAACAGCAAGGGGTCCATTTGTGCACCTGTTAGGGACAATCAGAGTACTACATATTTGTAATTATAAAAATCCAATGAATGCTTGCAGTACTAGGACCAGTCTGAAACATCCATGTTACATCTCCATTAGTAATGATTCTCGGCAGATTGTGCGTGCAGCAGGCTCTACCCATCAGTTTGTAGGATTGGGCAATGATGGCTAACGGCGTGGAACAGTCGGGAGTGACCGCTCAGATCAGACATGCGTCCCCGGCCACAGCGATCCATACTCTAATTGTCAACAGTAAGGACAATAGGTTAGTCAAGACAAAGGATCCAGCAGGGCGATGCACCATCACGAAATTCCCTATTATGAGTTGTGTCACACCGAGTTTAAAATATTGGTTGCGTATAAGGACGAAAATGGATTTGCCTCTTCCCCTCTGTGACATGCCTGAAAAATGTGCATTCGTAAGCAGCCTATTCGTGTTTCAGTTATCTTCCTAATACATCTTCATGCATAATGTCTAAAAAAACTCGATGCGGAGGAATGCCAAAGCGTTATCACTTTATCTAGTTTTGAACGCTAGACAGCTAACAATGACTTGCTAACGTCCTTTTTCGTGCTTTAGGAAACGGAACGAGAGGAACTTTTATTTATCAAAGAAGACATTCGCGCGGAAGAAATTAAAACATGAAGACTAATTTTCTGTTCGTATCAGAAGTCTTCAAAATCTTAGTTAACATGTGCCTCATGTTAAAATATGAAATACACCTATCCTCAAGGATCAAATGTGTCTTTCCTCGTACTATTATCTTTTGGACGAGCTTTCAGTTAATCCTTTTGTTGTATGGTCTTTCCTTAATTGGAAACTCCAAGCAGAAGTGTGGTCAGCCGGCAGTAGACATTAGAACGTCAAGTTAAAAGAGTACAAACTCAACGAGCCTTCAGAGTTCTCAAATAACGGCGTTCAGCAACACATCTCGTTAGACAAATCTCACAACACACTCCATGCAACCCGCCCCTGGATCGCGTTGTCGCCAAAGCTGGCCACTGATAACTGCAATCGCTGATGGATAACTGTAGGAAGTAGATAACAAGGTTAGAATTCACACATTTCACTATGACCGAAAATATTTTGCAGAGGAGTGTATAGGTGTTAAGGCTAAGG